TATCTATCTATCTATCTATCTATCTATCTATCTATCTATCTATCTATCTATCTATCTATCTATCTATCTATCTATCTATCATCTATCTATAGTCTATCAACCATCTGTCCATCCATTCATCTGTCCATCCATCTGCTGGTTCTGTGGGCGTGGCTTGGTGGGTGTGGTTTGGCTAGGTGGACGTGGCTTGGTGGGCATGGCAGGGGAAGGTTACTACAAAATCCCCCTTCCCTCCCCATCCCATTAACCTGCTTTCCAGCTCTGTTCTCCTGTGCAGGGCAATCAAAGAAGACCCAGCCAATCAGCTGGGAGTCAATGGGAGGCAGAGAAGAGATGGGGTTGGCGGGACCAATCCGAGGTGGGGTTGGCTGGTTCTCTGAACTACTCAAAATTTCCACTCCCAGAACTACTTAAAATTTTCCATTCTCCAGAACTGGTCAGGACCTGCTGAAGACCACCTCTGGTCCATGGGTCATGAAGATTAGATTAGATTAACAGAATTGGAAAGGACCTTGTAGATCATCTAGTCCAACCCCCTGCCCAAGCAGGAGACCCTGCACCATTTCTGACAGAGGGCAGTCCAGCCTCTTCTTGAAAGCCTCCAGTGATGAAGCTCCCACAACTTCTGAAGGCAACTTCTGTTCCATGGGTTGTTTGTTCTAATTGTCAGAAAATTCCTCCTTATTTCTAGGTTGAATCTCTCCTTGTTCAGTTTCCATCCATTATTCCTTCTCTGGCCTTCAGGTGCCTTGGGGAATAGCTTGATCCCCTCATCCTCTCTATGGCAGCTCCTCAAATATTGGAAGACTGCTGTCATGTCTCCCCTGGTCCTTCTCTTCACTAGACCAGCCAGGCCCAGTTCCTGTAACTGTTCTTCATATGCCTTAGTCTCAGTCCGCTCATCATCCTTGTTGCTCTTCTCTGCACTCTTTCTTGATTCTCAACATCTTTTTTATAGTGTGGTGACCAAAACTGGATGCAGGACTCTAGGTGTGGCCTTACTAAGGCTTTATAGAGTGCAGTGGTGGGATTCTACCAGTTTGGACCTATTCTCTAGAACTGGTTGTTAACATTCTAAGCAGTTCGGAGAACCGGTTGTTCGAAGAAATTACTGGCCTAATCCTGTAAGGAAGGCAGGAAGGAAACATTCTGGTGTTGCTTACAGAAACTGCCTCTCCATTAACCCTTATTACATTCTTGGCAGGACTAGACTTCCTGTCTCAGGAATGTCTCTGGAGTTTCTTTTCCCCTCCTTTGCTGGTACTTTGCTTGTGTGGAGTGACCATTCAAAGTTACAATGGCGCTAAAAAAAGTGACTTATGACCATTTTTCACACTTACGACTGTTGCAGCATCCCCACAGTCATGAGAGGCCAGGCAAGGAGATGCGTGCCTCGATGTGCGTGATATTGAGTTGGCCATGCCCAGCCAATAACATGACCACCAAGTCACGTCCACCAGTCTCATGACCACCAAGCCATGCCCACCACCTAAGCCACGTCCACAGAACTGGTTGTTAAACAATTTGAATCCCACCCCTGATAGAGTGGTATTAGTACTTCCCTTGATCTCAATTGTATCCCTCTGTTAATACAATTTAGGATTGCATTGGCCTTTTTGGCTGCTGCTGCACACGGCTGGCTCCTATTTAGCTGGTTGTCCACAAAGACTCCAAGATCCCTCACACAGTTCCTGCTATTGAGCCTGGTTTCACCCAGTCTATATGTGTATTTTCGGTTTTTCTTGCCTAAGTGTAGGACTTTACTTTTCTCTACATTGAATTTAATTTTGTTAGATAGAGTCAAACAAAACTTCAGTGACTGAGCAACAAATTAAAATTCCTATGAACTCTGGGCATATTCCTGCGTATATGAGCTGCTACCCACAGCTTCATTTGCTGTTTCCCTAATCCTAAACAATTAAAGCAGAAATCTGAATCAAGATGGAGAAATCCACTCGGTTATTCTCATCTGCAATTTACAGGTAGTCCTCGACTTACAAACATTTGTTTAGTGACTATTCAGAGTTACAACAGCAGTGAAAAAAGTGACATGACTATTTTTCACACTTACGACCATTGTAACATCTCCATGGTCACATGATCAAAATTCAGAGGGTTGGAAACTGACCTGTACTTATGACGGTTGCAGTGTCCTGGGGTCACGTGGTCCCCTTTTATGATCTTCTGACAAGTAAAGCCAGATTCACTTAACAACCATCTTACTATATTAACAAATGCAGTGATTCACTTAACAACTGTGGCAAGACAGGTCGTAAATTGGGGCAAAACTCACTTAACAACTGTCTCGCTTAGCAACAGAAACTTTGGGCTCAATTTGTGGTTGTGAGTTGAGGGTCATGTGCTCACCTTTCGTCACCTTCCTACCCCACAAGCAAAATCAATGAGGGAAGCCACAGATTCATTTAACGACCGCATGATTTGTCCAGTAACAGTGTAAAATGGAATAGACTCTCCTGCCTAAGCGGGGGGTTGGACTAGATGACTTCCAAGGTCCCTTTCAACTCTGTTATTCTATGTCCCCCCCCAAAAAAACCCCAGGGCCACAGCTCACTTAAGAACTGCCTCACTTAGCAGCAGAAATTTGGGACTCCTTTGTGGCCATCTGTATTTTAGGATGATCTGTATTTTACCGTAGAGCGGAGAAATTCTGCTGCCTGGGTTTGGGTTTTTTTTTTTGTTTTGTTGTTGTTGTTAATTTTTCCTTTCCAAAGCGGGTTAAAATAATTGGCATCAGTCTTTTTTTTCAGAGGACTCAGGATGCCGGTGAAGTTCTCTTGAAGTGAGGATTTCAATTCACAGCTGCGAAATAGAATTTCAAAGTCGAGCAGAACATCACCTCATATTTATTTCATGACAAACGGCGGAGAGAGAGGCGGCGGTAACCGCTCCCCCCTCCGCTCCTCCTCGCTTTTCAACGGGGAACAGCGGGCCTCCGCAAATCTTCTGAGTGGTGCTTGACCTCGATGGGGGTTTGAATGAAGAGTCTCTTTCGATGCCTCCATGAACCGCAGATGGGCCCGGCCCTCCTTTAATCATTGGACACAGCCAGGCAATCTTCCGAGTGCTCATTATCTTCCATGTCCTTAACTCGCTGGCATAAATTGTAGGGCATCCGCCATCAAGCTGTCAACAGCCTGAAGAGGGAGATGGGGGGGAGGGGGGGAGGAAGAAGGCTTACCAGGACAGTGGTGGGATTCAAATAATTTAACAAGCGGTTCTCTGCCCTGATGATTTCTTCCAACAAGCAGTTCACCAAACGGTTCAGGAAGGTAACAACCGGTTCTCCCAAACCGGTGCGAACCGGATGAATCCCACCCCTGAATAAGGATGAACTGAGATAAATGCCTGCGTTTTTATCACTGACAGAAGGGGGTATTTGTAGCTCAGGGCCAGGGAGGGGATTCCATTTTTTTTAACAACCGGTTCTGTGGGCGTGGCTTAGTTGGTGGGCATGGCTTGGTGGTCATGTGACTGGCTTGGTGTGACCCACTCAATATCACTCACATTGAGGCACGCATCTCCTCGCCTCGAAAGTGTGAAAAACGGCCATAAGTCACTTTTTTCAGTGCCATTGTAACTTTGAATGGTCACTCCACACAAGCAAAGGAGGGGAAAGTAACTCCAGAGACGTTCCTGAGACAGGAAGTCCAGTCCTGCCATGAATGTAATAAGGGTTAACGGAGAGGCAGTTTCTGTAAGCAACACCAGAATGTTTCCTTCCTGCCTTCCTTACAGGATTAGCCCAGTAATTGCTTCTAACAACCGGTTCTCTGAACTGCTTAGAATGTTAACAACCGGTTCTAGCGAAGAGGTGCGAACTGGTAGAATCCCACCCCTGCTCAGGGCTGAACAGTGGGGTCCTTGGGGCTCTCTGAGCTTGGTTGTTTGCTTGCAGATGTTTCATGACCCAGTTAGGTAACGTCATCAATAGAAGAAGGCAGGGTGGGTTGCAGAGAGGAGGAGGAGGAGGAGAAAGAGAGGGAGGGGGAAGGGGGAAGAGGAGGAGGAGGGGGAGGAGGAAGAGGAGGAGGAAGAGGAGGAAGAGGAGGAAGAGGAGGAGGAGGAGGAGGAGAGGACTATGGGGTCCTTGGTGCCCTCTGAGCTTCTTTGCTGTTTTGCAGGCGTTTCATCACCCAGCTAGCTAACATCAGTTCTAGAAGGGAGTGAGGTTTGTGGAGAGGAGGAGGAGGAGGAGGAGGAGGAGAGGTAAGAGGACTATGGAATGCTGGGTGCCCTCTGAGCTTGGTTGTTTTCTTGCAGGCATTTCATGATCCAGCTAGGGAACATCTTCCTCCTTGCAAACTCCATTCCCTTGAACTGATAAAGTTCCCGAGATGGGTCATGAAACGCCTGCAAGAAAACTACCAAGCTCAGAGGCCACAAAAGGACTCCACACAAAAACAAGGTTGGCTTGGTATCTCTGAGGGTAGTAGGGCCGATTTCTTCCTGCAGCAGGGAACAATCCATCTTGATTTCTTTCCGTGGCCATTTCGTGACCTTATGGACTAGCAACACTTGGTCGCAAACTTGTCATGGTGACTCCAGCTTCAGATATATCCCAAGGCGGTGATAGTGCTGCAGTTGTGGGTTTAACACTCATGCTGTGTGTAACCTCGAAGGGGGAGTCCCATCCTTGGGGGAGGGGGTCATGGGAGTTATAGATGGGAAAAGTACGGGATTATCCCAGGGGTCTCCAACCTTTCCAGCTTTGAGGACTGACGGGGGTGTGGGGAGAGGAGGGGTGGCTGTGTACAAGCAACAGGGGCATGCGTTCACACAAGCAGCTCCATTTATGTAAGAGACAGGTGTGCACATCCATTGCACTGCAAACACGCACCCACAACTTGCAAGACCTGATAGCGGACTATACCACTTGGGGACGGCTAGATTTTCCTCTCCTTTATGATGGCGCCTTCTGGATTTCTCTGTGGCTCTCATTCCACCCGGTTAAAGAAAACAGAGCTAACCTCGAGCAGTTAGAAAGGCCTGGATGAGACGTTAAGAAGGGATTCGGAGGACACACAATTTGGATTTGGAGAAAGAGAGACGCGTGAGAAGGGAACTCAAGAGTCAACCTCTGTCTTGATTTCATTCAGCCTAGGGGGGACAGGGAACATTTGGATAGGCTTTCAGGATTGAGGCCAGCCCTTTGAGGTAGGCCAGGGAGGGAAGGATTTCAAGCAATATTCTCGATCGTTATAGGATAGAATCCGGGAATCTGTTTCAAAAGTGCAGATGGATATTTGGTTTGCTCTTCATTCCAGGTTTCTTTCTTTTCGACGATCCAAACCATCTATACGGTGGGTTACAGCATTTCAGCTACCACTCTGGCCGTGGCAATCTTTATCCTCTTGGCCTTCAGGTAGGTATCCGTGGTGGGATTCAATTTTTTTTTTTTACTACTGGTTCTGTGGCTTGGTGGGTGTGGCAGGGGAAGGGTACTGCAAAATCTTCAGTCAGAGGTGGTGTTTGCCAGTTCTCCGAACTACTCAAAACCTCCTCTGCAGAACTGGTCAGAACTTGTTGAAGACCACCTCTGGTAGGCACGTTTGCAGGATCCTGGAAGTAGAACGCAGGACAATATTTTCATCCCCCCCCCCCCCTATTGTTGTTGTGGTTATCTCTTTTATTCATTAAACATGAAACTTGGTCAATTGAACATTCAAAAAGGTATCACAAATACCAGTGACTGGTGCTAATGGTTGATACAGGTGGCTGCCAGCGTCCAAGTTGTCAATCAAGTATTTTCTTAAAATATACGATGTTCCGAGTAGCGCAGTCTTTTGCAGTTCCGCTGGTGTTATTGCAGGAAGGTGCAATTTCTGTGTTTTGTAAAATTCTTGGACATGGTATCAAGTGCCCTGATGACAATGGGTATCACTGTTACATGTTTCATCCATAACCGGGTAGTTTCGATGGTCAGGTTGCAAGATTTCCTGATTTTTCCTGATGTTCTTTTGCTTCGACTCTGGCGTCTCCTGGTACAGCGATATGAACAAATGATACGTTTCGACAACCGTCATATCTGGCATGTTGTGTTCCAAATAGCGATCCGTTTGTATTTGAAAGTCTCATAAGATCTTCACCGTTGTTGTTGTTGTTTTTATATTTTTTCAACCCTTCACTGTTTTTACAAATAAAGCAGTGAACATATTTATACACTTTCCCCCTCCTATTTTCCCAACAACAACCCTGTGACATGGCCTGATTGAGAGATCAGCTCAAAGTCACCCAGCTAGTTTTCATGCTTAAAGCAGGGACTAGAACTCACTGTCTCCTAGTGATTGGCCCAAAGTCACCCAGCTGGCTTTTATGCCTAAAGTGGGACTAGAACTCACCACCTCCTAGTGATTGGCCCAAAATTATTCAGCTGGCTTTTATGCCTAAAGCATAAACTAGAATTTACTGCCTCTTGGTGATTGACCCAAAGTCATCCAGCTGGCTTTTATACCTAAGGTGGGACTAGAATTCACCGTCTCCTGGTGATTGACCCAAAGTCATCCAGCTGGCTTTTAGGCCTAAAGTGGGACTAGAACTCACCACCTCCTGGTGATTGGCTCAAAGTTACCCAAGCTGGCTTTAAAGCCTAAGGTGGGACTAGAACTCACCGTTACCTGGTGATTTGGCCCAAAGTCATCCAGCCAGCTTTTGTGCTTAAGGCAGGACTAGAAGTCACAATCTCCTAATTTCTATCCTGGGGCTTTAACCACGAGACCAAACTGGCTCTCATGAGTTGCATATGTATCACCCGAGGAAATAGATCTCCTCTCAACCCATTTCAGTTGTGCGTTGTACATGCATTGCACAGGTGTGTTCAAAATGTGTGTTGTGCTTACTGCAACAAATCTGTGGAGCTGAGCAATGCACTTATTATTTCCATGGTGCAGGTGAATACAGGTATTCCTTCACTTATGGTCAAGTTCGACTCCCTCAGATGCTCAGGGTGTAACTACCCACAATTCCAGCTTTCTCCACAGCCATCATTATTTCTTGACAAACATACTTATTGCATGAAAGTTCTACCTTTAAAACTTTAGTGCAATAAATGTACTTCTTTGCTTCTTCCAAGGAGCTAATACAGGTAGTCCTCAACTTACAGCCATTTCATTTAGCGACCATTCAAACTTACAACGGCACTGAAAAAAAGGGGCTTACGGCCGTTTTCCACACTTACGACCATTGTAGCTTTCCCCACGGTCACGTGAGCAAAATTTGGTGGCTTGGCCACTGGTTCATATTTAAGAAGACCACAGACCCCCTTTTGCAACTTTTTGACAGGCAAAATGAAGCCAGCTTCCCTTAACAACCACATGACTCACTTAACAACTTCATCGATTCACTTAACAACCGGAGCAAGAAAGCTTTGCTGGCTGGGGGAATTCTGGGAGTTGAAGTCCGCCAGGCTTAAACTTCTCATGGTTGGAGACTCCTGTCATTGATCCTTATGGGTTCCCTTCAGCCTACCATATCGTCTCTCTTCTTGCAGGCGACTCCGCTGCTCAAGGAACTACATCCATGTCCACCTTTTCGTGACTTTCATCTTGAAGGCCATGGCCATCTTCATCAAGGACTCCGTTCTCCTGGACAGCAAAGGGAGTGATTACTGCACCTATTCCACGGTATGGGATGAAAAGAGCAGGGAACGTAGCGACCTAGGGCTGGAAGGGGCTTTGGAGGTCTTCTAGTCCAACCCCCATGCTCATCTTGGTCAAATGGTTCTCTTTTTGAAGACCTCCATTGATGGAACACCCAGAACTTCTGGAGACAAGCTGTCCCGGTGGTTATTTGCTCTTACCATTAGGAAATTTCTCCTTACTTCTAGCAATAGCGCTTAGACTTATATACTGCTTTATAGTGTTTTACAGCCCTTTCTAAGCAGTTGATAGGGTCAGCCTCTTGCCCCCAACAATCTGGGTCCTCATTTCATCCACCTCGGAAGGAGAGAAAGCTGAGTCAACCTGGAGCCTGGTGAGATTCGATCTGCCAAATTGCAGTCAGCCGGCAGTCAGCAGAAGTAGCCTGCAGTACTGCATTCTGACCACTGAGAAGGAAGGGAGAGAGGGAGGGAGGGCAATAGCACTTAGACTTATATACCACTTCACAATCTTTTCAAGATTGGGAATCATTGGTTAAAGGGCTTCTCATAATTTAAGGCTGCATATAGCAATACCACTTAAACTTATATATCGCTTTATAGCGCTTTACAGCCCTCTCTAAGTGGTTTACAGAATCAGCCTCTTGGCCCCAACAATCTGGGTCCTCATTTCACCCACCTCGGAAGGATGGAAGGCTGAGTCCACCTTGAGGTGGGATGGATGGATGGGAGGGAGGGAAGGAAGTAGGGAAGGAAGGAAGGAAGGAAGGAAGGAAGGAAGGAAGGAAGGAAGGAAGGAAGGAAGGAAGGAAGGAAGGAAGGAAGGAAGAGCAATAGACTTATATACCACTTTAACAGTGCTTTACATCCCTCTCTAAGCCAGAGTCAGCCTCTTGCTCCCAATAATATGGGTCCTCCTTTTACCCACCTTGGAAGGATGGAAGGCTGAGTCAACCTTGAGCCTGGTGAGACTCAAATTGCCAAATTGCAGGCAACCAGCAGTCAGTAGAAGTAGCCTGCAGTATTGCACTCTAACCACTGCGCCACTGTGGCTTCTAAGTTGCTCCCCTCCTTGACTGGTTTCCGTCTGTTGCTTCTTGTCCTGCCTGGTGCTTTGGAGAATAGAGGGACCCCCTCTCCTTCTTCGGGCAGCCCCTCAAATATTGGAAGGCTGCTATCATATCCTCTCTAATCCTTCTCTCCAAAAGTCTAGATATACCTGGGTTCCCTCAACCATTTAGCCTCCAGCAACAAGGAGAGAAGCAACCTAGAACTAAGGAGAAATTTCCGAAAGGTGAGAGCAAATAAACTTATGGAAGGACTTGCCTTCAGAAGTGGTGGGTGGCTCCATCCCTGAAGGCTTTCCGAAAAGAGGCTGGACAACCCTTGATCTTGAAATCGTCTAGGGTGTCCTCCCTAAGCAGGGGGTTGGACTAGAAGACCTCCAAGGTCCCTTCCAACTCTGTTGTTCTATGTTCTGTGTCCTATCTTTGTTGCTCTGCACATTTTCTGGGATTTCATGCCTTGTCTTACTGAGTTGCAAAGAATCACAATAGCCCTCGACTTATAACCGTTCATTTAGTGACCGTTCGAAGTGACCAAAAGCACTGAAAAAAGTGGCTTATGACCGTTTTTCACACTTACAACCATTCCAGCATCTCCACGGCCACGTGATCCATATTCAGACTCTCGGCAACTGGCTTGTACTTATGACGGTTGCAGGGCCATGTGATCTGCTTTTGCAACCTTCGGACAAGCAAAGCCGACGCGAAAGCCCGATTCACGCCACAACTGTGTGACCAGCTTAACAATGGCAGGGATTCACTTAACAACAGTGGCAAGGAAGGTCGTAAAATGGGGCAAACCTCACTCAACCGCTGTCTCACTTAGCAATGGAAATTTTGGGCTCAGTTGCGGCCACAAGTCGAAGACTATTTATTATTACGACTAAATAATTATTTATGGGCAGTTGGAATACAAGGTACATCTTTCCCAGTTATTTAGGCCATCCTGCAACGGTGGGATTCAAATTTGTTTACTATCAGTTCTGTGGGCATGGCTTGTTGAGCATGGCATGGCTTGGTGGGTGTGGCTTGTTGAGCATGGCATGGCTTGGTGGGTGTGGCTTGGTGGGCATGGCAGGGGAAGGATACTGCAAAATCCACATTTCCAACCCACTCCAGGGAAAAAGATATACTGCAAAATCCCCCTTCTCTTCCCACCCCACTAACCTGCTTTCCAGCTCCATTCTCCTGTGCAGGGCAACTAAAGAAAACCCAGCCGATCAGCTGGGACTCAATGGGAGGCAGAGAATAGATGGGGGAGGGGTCAGTCAGAGATGGGATTTTGCCAGTTCTCCGAACTACTCAAAATTTCCGCTACCGGTTCTCCAGAACTGGTCAGAACCTGCTGAATACCCACCTCCGTTCCTACCACTTAATTACAATGCTTTTGAAGTAAGTAGCAGAAGGATAACCCAGTTGTGGTTGATGTCCAGCCCACCCAGAATTAGAAACATGGTCTCTTGTCCATTAGCGCAGGCCACGTGTGGTCCTCAGCTGGGGGAGCAAGATTGATCTCCACTTTCAGAAAACTCTAAAAGCTCTTGAAGAACCCTCAAAGGCAATATAGAGTTATTGGTGCAATTTCTGACACAAAACCCATCTCTAGTGTTTGTGTGTCCTGACCAAACAAAGCTCTCCACTAAATGTCAGGAGAATCCATTTTGACGACATTGATTGAATACACCAAGGATGGACATGTTTGAGCGAGTACAGTTACAAGCAATCCACACGTATTTCTCTACTCATACTTCTCTGCCTACTTTGCAATCTTCTCTTGTCTTTGGCAAACTTTCAATTTCCACAAGATGAAAATAATTCTCTGGAGTTATTTTCATCTTGTGGAAATTAAAAGTTTGCCAAAGTTGCCCCGAATCTGTTGGGAAAATTCCTGCAATTCCTAATTCCTTCATAGGTTTTAGCCTCCAACCCCTTAATCATCTCTGTTGCTCTTCTCTGCTCTCTTTCCAGAGTCCCAACATCCTTTTTACGTCGTGGTGACCAAAACAGGATGCAGAATTCCAAGGGTGGCCTTACTAAGGCCTTATAAAGTGGTATTAACACTTCACGGGATCTTGATTCTATCCCTCTGTTTATGCAGCCTAGGACTGTGTTGGCTTTTTTGGCAGCTTCTGGCTCCTATTTAAATGGTTGTCCACTAGGAGTCCGAGATCCCTCTCACAGTTACTACTGTTGAGCAAAGTTTCACCTAATCTGCACCTGTGCATTTGGTTTTCCTTGCCTAAATATAGAACGTTGCTTTTCTCACCACTAAATTTTATTTTGCTAGGTAGGGCCCAATGCAGTGGTGGGATTCAAATACTGTAATTTAACAACCGGTTCTCTGCCCTGATGATTTCTTCCAACAACCAGTTCACCAAACTGCTCAGGAAGTTAACAACCAGTTCTCCCGAACTGGTGCAAACTGGCTGAATCCCACCACTGGCCCAGTGTCCGACTGAGATTCATCTGGATCTTGAGTCTATCTTCTGGGGGGTGTTGGCTATTCTTTCCAGGGTTCCTTTGCCAAGATGTTATTTGTCCTTTGGAGATAGTATTTGACTGAACCAGGCCAATGAGAAGGTTCCTTGAGATGCCTCCTTGCTTCTTCCACAGCCCGAATGTAAGATCTCGATGGTGTTCCTTAACTTTTCCACCATGGCCAACTTCATGTGGCTCTTAGTAGAAGCTATCTACCTCAACTGCCTGCTCCTTTCTTCCTTTTCCCACGGAAGCAAATACTACTGGTGGCTTGTCCTCTTTGGATGGGGTAAGTCCAGCTGACTTCTTGACCCACCTTCTCCCCCCGCCCCCCCTTTTTTTAAATGATGGGGTTAAACTACCAACACTCAAGTGACACCATGGGTATGATGCGGGGAGCCAGTAAGGAACCAGACTAGAAAGCAGGAGAGTGTGAGTTCTAGTCCCGCCTTAGGCATGAAAGACGGCTGGGTGACTTTGGGCCAATCACCAGGAGACTGTGAGTTCTAGTCCTGCCTTGGGCATGAAAGCCGGCTGGGTGACTTTGGGCCAATCACCAGGCGACGGTGAATTCTAGTCCTGCCTTGGGCATGAAAGCCGGCTGGGTGACTTTGGGCCAATCACCAGG